ATAAAAATAATAATATTTGCTACAGAAGAAGGGGTAAAATTAGGAAACAGTCAGTGGGATGGTTCTATACCAAAAACCACCTAATCATACAAAATAAAAAATAAATTCAAGCTCAACAGTAAGCACATAAAACACAGGTTCCACTTCCTCAGCAGTCTACTTCCCTCTAAAAATAGCACGATTACAAAAAAACTAGTACTTTTACCTCCCTAAATGATTTCACCTATGTTAAGAAAACACTCCGTGGAACCTCTGTGGAAAAAAACGGCATTGTCCATAGAAACCTGTACTCTTAGAAGTAACAGAACTAGTGATTCTGGAAATTAGCTCTAACATCAAATTTCTGAAAATCTCTCGATAACAATATCACATATCAAGATACAATAATGATGAACCGCTAGATAAGGTTCTGATGAAACAAATGGTGCAAAAAAAATCCGCAATACACCAAAAAGAAACTTGGTAAACAGCGTCGAACTTGACCAGTGGCCAGCATTTCAAAGCTTGCTGGCCGGCCGTACTACGGTAACTCTGGTCCTGCCACGAAACGGAAATTAGAAATGACGGCGCTTATATAGAATAGGCAAGTCTCTAGGACACGAAAATACAGCCATCAATTTGACTGGATTTCAACGAAAGAATTGCAGCAAAAGTGTGCTCGAGCAAGAATATACCACTGAAATAATCTTTTCAGTTCAAATTATGTTGGATTATCATTAAATTTCCACCAGCTTTAACTTCATTGCTGTCATTTAAGTTATCCTGCATCATTTTATTTTCGTTACTTTGCGTTGCAAAAGAGTAGAATTATAAAACGACTTCAAAACACGAAGACTTACAACAATGATTACTGTTGCTGCAAAGAACGGCGAAATAAAGAGGTCAAATAATAAACAAGATTTATTAATTCATTGTAATATATCCACGTTGAAGCATTTTCTTTGTTCAACAGTTTCAAATATTGTTTTATCGTTTCTAAAATTTAATATCTTTCTATTACCTTACTGTAGTAAACAGTGCCATTTTTGTCCACTGTTGAACGAAAC